CGAACTCTATTCTTTGGTCCCACCACTTCAGACCTTCACAGCTAGGAATCGACATGCCACATACATAAGACCGAACTCATTTTCATCGTTCCCTTCATGTTCTATTGGTGAGGAGGAATTTCCATTCGGACAGCCTCCTCCCAAGAACTGTTGCATTGTAGAACGGACTCCCCAGAGGATACTTACCCAATCACTACAATATTAAACACTTTAAATCTAGAGTCAACCGTTAGTTATTCTGCATATCCTCATAAGAGGTAACTCTTCCTCCCTCTTTGTATCTCCTTTCACCAACTTCATTTAATAACTATCTATCTTGAGTGGCTCTTGGGCCTTTTATTGGGTGAACAATAGTAAGAAATAGTCCCCTTCAAATTTCTACTATTTATAAACTCATAGACTTATCCTAGCGTTACTTACAATTTTCAAAACATTCTGAAAAATCATGTTTCGGGATCGTTCCCTTAACACCTTGTCCCGCTTTTTAGTTTTGATATATATATATATATATATATATATGTGTGTGTGTGTGTGTGTGTGTGTGTGTGTCACTACCGGTTGAAAGGCTCCCTCTTCTACTTCGGCGCCTCACTGCCAAGACAAAGAGTCTCCAAGACCTCCTCTTTGCTGATGACTGTGCACTAGTGACCCATACAGAATCTGATCTGCAGCTGATGCTGGATCGCTTCTCTGACGCCTCCAATCTCTTTGGCCTGACAATCAGTCTCGGCATGTCTGAGGTGCTTCATCGGGCCCACACCAAACACAAACACCTCAGCACCGACCATCGTCATCGATGACACACAGTTTGCCAATGTTGAGCATTTCAAATATCTGTGGGGTTCCTTGGACAAAGAAATTGATGCCAGAATCAGCAAAGCAAGTCGGGCATTAGGAAGATTTAGCAACAGAGTGCTCAGTCAATACAACATTCAGCTGACTACAAAGCTGAGAATGTACTTTGCAGTGGTCTTGCCCTGCCTTCTATATGGTTATGAGTCTTGGACACTGTACCGCAGACACATCAAGAAGCTGGAGAACTTTCACATGCGGGCTCTCCGTTCCATACTCAGAATTCGCTGCCAGGACCGCGTTACCAACCTTGAGGTGATGGATTGTGCTCATTACACAAGCATTGAGTCCATGCTCATTAAGGACCAACTCTGATGGGTGGGGCATGTCATCCGCATCGAGGAGCACCACTTGTCACGATATCTGCTATACGTAGAGCTCCTGCACGGCAAGAGAAACCAAGGCTGTCTAAAGAAGCGATACAAAGACACTGTGAAGGCAAATCTCCATGAGTGCAAACTCGAACCCCAAAGAACTAGAGGAGCGAGACGGTGACTGCCATTGTTGGTGAATCACAATCCATGATGCTGCTGTCACCTTCGAGGATGCTCGACGCCAAAAGCTCACCAGAGATCAACGCCACAGGGCATCATCAGCTGTGATTACGACAATGAACCTTCAGTAACCCACCCCCACTGTTCTAGACTCTGCGCCTCCAGCTTGGGGATGTGGAGCTACCTCCGAGTTCAGAGATGAGATTCAGAAACCATACGTCATCTTTGGATTCTTAGGACAACCGATATATATATAGAGAGAGAGAGAGAGAGAGAAATGGGTAAGATAAAAATGTACATACATACACAAATACTTGCACATAGGTAAGTATATTTATTCCTAAGGTGTTATAAATAAAGTGCTCAATGTTATAAAACAGAGCTATAAGTATATATTAGTAAATATACATAATATCCAACGTCGATAACACAATTCCAAGTTTCATGCAATTCATAATGATTCATCATGTATGTACATATATATGTGCATTTGTGTGTGCATTTGTGTACACATGCATGAATAGGTATGCAGATATGAACAGATACACAAACATAGATTAGAAAGAGTGAGGAAGTCGGCTAGCTATGAATTGCGGGTAAATTTGTTGGTGAAGCAGAAATTCGTAATTGCCGGATAATCACGTAATGATGGCGACACACAGACAGGAGAGGAAAAACGGGTTTATTTGACAGATAGTCTTTATCTGTCTTCGAACGCAGAGTTTTTCTTCCCACGAAAAATGAGGACATCGGAGGAAAAGTGCACCTTGTCAGTCTAACCAGGTGTGTTCACTTTCAGTCGAATGGCGTTCCGTTGTCAAACGAGACTGTACGAAATTCAGCCACAGATGATAATCTAATTGTAATAAACACGTCATTTGGTATCCGTTTACTCGACCATTTGTCTTTCTTTCCACCCGATTTGCCCAAGCTTGGGTGGCTGTCAGTAAATGACATTGAAAATGTAAGCATATATAGGAATGATTTTCAAAAGGAAGATTTCAAAATAAAGAAAGAATGACAGATCGAGATGCAAAAGATGGCAATGTTCAGGAGAAAGAAAGAAAGAAAGAAAGAAAGAAAGAAAGAAAGAAAGAAAGGACTTACAAGAAACAGAATGAATGGAGAAAAACAGGAACCTAAAAAAGGAAGAAAAGAAACAAGGCAATAAGTGATGTTGTGAAAAGAAATAAAGAAAGTGAAAGGAAGAAAAGAAAGATCGAAAAGAGAAATTGGGATGAAAGCGAGGGTGAAGAGAAACAAGAGATCATTAGATGTCTCTCTTTCGATACGATGGAACAAAAGAAGGAGAGAGGAAAATAAAATCAAATTGGTGGAAAAAACTTCCCTCTGCCCTGAGAATACTTCGGTTCGAGGTCATGATTAGAGAGTTAGTGTGGATTCACCATTACTACTGTGTAAATCTGATTTTCATTGGGTGACCCATTCTTATTTCATTGTGCAAAATTATGCTAAGTAAACGGCATATAAATTCTTCATTGTTCTTAATGTTTAATGAACAACAAATGTTTTTATTTCTTTTGTTTTAACTGAATTTTTGCTCGATTCTCGATTTGCAAATTCACTTGCGACTTATATCATTTCGTAACTTCAGTTATGAAATAAGCATAAATAATAGAATTCTTTTCCCGGACGTATAAAAAATAAAAGACTTAATACAAAGCAAAAGAATAAATAAAATTTGAAGGGGGAATTTACTCTATTACCTGTAATAATTACAGCAAGGAATACATCAGAGAAGCCTCGAAGAATTTAAATAAAACGTTATATGAACAGAAAAGGGATCTTTTACAAAACAAAACATTAAACGCATTAGTTACTTACCCTAACTTGACTGATAACAATTTTGATTTTGAAAATGCTACTCTAATTAAAAAAGAAAAAATTTTACTAAGATGAAAATGTTTAAAAAGTGCTTCAATTTGTAGATCATCCCCAGTAAATTTGTGTCCAGGTTCTTACAACGTTTCACCATTCTTGGCGGATCTTCTGTTATCATAATCTTGGTTGATTGGTTTTGCTTATCAACATCTCTATGGGTCATTTAATGCCGAAATCTAATTCATCTGAACACAATTTTATGGCTTCAACTAAATATATTTTGGACGCAAATGTCTGCCTTCGTACCTATCTGTCAATCACAGTCTCTTCATACCTATCTATCTATCACAGTCTTTTCGTACCTATTTATCAATCACAGTCTCGTCGTACCTATCTATCACAGCCTCTTCATACCTATCTATCTGTCACAGCCTCTTCGTACCTATCTATCTATCACAGCCTCTTCATACATATCTATCTATCACAGCCTCTTCGTACCTATCTATCTATCATAAACTCTTCGTACCTATCAATCAAAGCCTCTTCGTACCTATCTATCTATCTATCACAGCCTCTTCGTACCTATCTATCTATCACAACCCCTTCTTGCCTATCTATCACGGTCTCTTCGTACCTATCTATCTATCATAGTCTCTTCGTACCTATCTATCTATGACAGCCTCTTCGTACCTATCTATCTATCTGACAAATGCAATTGAAAGCAGATTGTTGAAGCTTAAGTCATCTTCATAACGGCTGAGAAAATAGGTTTTCATGAAATTTCTTTGACACTTCGTTTTTGCCAACTTCACACATTTCGGCATTTGTTGTGAAACATTTACGACTTACTTCTTATCAAAGTCGGATCAAAATTGGTTCTTATCAAATGATGGGCGGGAGGCGTGTCGCACTTGTGTCATGGGTCAGAAATAAAATATGTTACATTGAAATCAAGTGTTTCTTTTTCTTCACTTTTCCAAGATGAGAGATTTGGACTCGCTTTTGGCAAAATTAATTCTTCAGATCGTAAAAGAATTCAAAATAAAATAAAATGCTCCGTTAATGGTTCTGGGAACCTCAAAAAGAACAAAATGAATTCCGAAATGTTCTCTTTGGGCAGAGAGCATCTACATAGGAAGGGGATTCAGTTAATGACGAACGCTGATATTTGCAGCGAATGTGGGCGTCGGGATGAAATGCAGCTTATAAATCAATTGAATGCCAAATAAGAAAATGAAAAGTTTTAAAATTCCTTTGAAAATATCAATGAAAATGAAATAGAAAAAAGGGAAATATTTGGAGGGAGAAGGAAAAGAAAAAGAAAGAGGACAAGGAAAGCATCATACATGAAAGGGAAAGTAAGAGAGAGAGAGAGAGAGAGAGAGAGTGTGTGAAAGTAAAAAGAGGGAAAAAGAGAAAGCATGGTAGAAATAATACAGAGATAAATGAGGAGAAGTCGGAGGTAAGAATTAAAATGGTATTGAAGAAGAAGAAAAAGAAGAAAAAGAAGAAGAAGGAGAAAAAGAAGAAGAAGAAGGAGAAAAAGAAGAAGAAGAAGAAGAAGAAGAAGATAACTATTCAATTTAAACGCATAAATGCACATACTGTTTTACTCTACACCCATATATATGTGTAGGCGTGGGGTGTAAAGGTTAGCAAGCTTGACTTGCTAGAACAATTACGACTGAGTAGTGAGTTCGATCCTCACTGGGTGCCTCATGCTTTTGGCCTTGTGCCACATCTGAGCTACGCTTGGAAAATCACTAGTTGTGTAGCCGTGGTGGTTAACATATTGAATAATAACAAACATTTCTAGAAATTCCAAAGAAAAACAGAAGGTAGTAAAGAACAAAAGGATAAAAATATAGTTGGAAAGATTGGGAGGGAAAAGAAGTAGAAAAATTCAAAATAGAGAGTGAAATAAATAAGAATAGAATGTAAAAGGAAGAAAAAAAAAAGAGAAGTGAAAGGAAGCGTGAAACAAAGAGGAAGGATAAAAGAGAGAGAGAGAGAAGAAGGAGAGGAAAAAAGCGAAAGAATTAAATAAAAAAGAAAGGAGTTGGGAAAGAGGGAAAAGAGTAACATTAGTGAGAGGGGGAAATAAGAGAGATATGGAAGAATAAGAGTGAGGAGATGGGAAAGAAAGGACAGTAGAAAAAGAGAAAGAGGGTGGATGGAAAAGAGGAGAAATAATAAGGTAATAGAACAAAAAAGGGAAATTGGGAAATCGAAAATGAACAAGAGAATCACTTGCAGGAAATTAAGAAAAAAACAAGTCTAGTAAGACCAAATAGTCGATTATATACAGCGAGATAGATAGATAGATAGATAGACGAAGAAAAATAATTGTAATTTTTTCTAGATCAAGCCAAATGTTTCATTGCATATTTTCCCCTATATTTGAGGAAACCTTTAATCAAATCCCAGTTTTGAAGGCGAGAGACAATTTTTCAATATCTTCAGCTTTGCCTCTTCTCTTCCACTGACTCTCCCGCGTCTTTGACAATCTGCTTTCATAGATTGTGTTCCTTTCGGCCAAAGGATTTTCACTTCATATTCTTTGGCTTAATTAGACGGAACCCGCTTCACTTTAATTAAAGCTTCAACGTTCACAACGAGACTTCGTCGGGATCCTGATTTTTTCGGTCGATTTCTTTTATTTCTTTAACTTTATCAGATTTTCTTTTTCTTTTTTTTTTTTTTTTTTTACTGTTGAGTCATTTGAGAAAATTTCCCTCTCTCCTTCCATCTATCCATCTCTTCTTTCTTCTTTTCCGCTCTTTTTTCTCGTCCCCTCCTTCTTACACACTTGTCTTTTCTTTCTCTTCCTTTCCTTCATTTATTCTTTCTCTTTCCTCATTTTCTCTTCCTCCGTTTTTTTTCTCTCTGACCTTCCTCCTTTCATTCCTTCCTTCTTTCTTTCCGCCATTCCTTTTCTAATGTAGGTAAACTGAATTGTTCCTTTTTTTTATAACCCTCCCATTCCCCAACATGAACTCCATGTGCCACACCCACTTTTTGTCTATCGGTATACTTCACCAGTTTTTATTTGAGACACTAACAGACATTCTTTATTCTTTCCGCGTCTTTGCCCCAGGGAAACAGTGTGATTCTCTGCAAAACACCACAGCAACGACAAGTTATACACACGAACAGATAACTACACACACGCACACAAATACACACACGTGTGATTGTGTATGTGTTCGCGCGCATATGTATGTGTGTGTATGCGTGTGTTTAAAATTTGCTATATTTATAGGAAAAATTATGCAGTATTAAATACAGAACATTTAAAGGCATATACAGTGTGGACATAAGAATCAACACTGAATGGTGACTGCCACCACTCACACCTCAGTGATATTCCAACATTAATAATAATAGATCTGTATAGAGGCAGATAGATGTACGTGGATATATATATATATATATATATATGTGTGTGTGTGTGTGTGTGTGTGTGTGTATGTTTGTGGTTTGAACAATAAAAAATATAAAAAATTATAATTTCCAGACACACCGTGTTGTATGTTAATATTCTTTTGTTTTATTGTTTCAGTTAGGTTCCTTGACTAGTTTCGGTCAGCATGGCCATCATCAGGAGTAAAATCCCTGCTTGTTATTAGCAGTGACTACAGGAGTGAATGACTGTCTCTGAAGAAAGTGAACTTTATCTGTAGTTTTCATTTATTTTTTTATCGTTAATTTTGTTCAGTCCTTGTGTAAATTCTCGTGAGTGCCGCCATAGAATCTTATCAAAATATAAATCTGTGTCCCGTATTTGTTTATATATATGAGTGTGTGCTGGAAAGTTCTCAACCCGAGCAAGAAGAAAAATTTTTAAAGTTGCTTAATCGGATAACTTTTAGCATATATATATATATATATATATATATATATATATATATATTGAACAATAAGAAAATAAAAAATTAAAATCTTTAGACACACTGGGTTGTAGATTAATATTCTTTCGTTTTTTATTATTATTCCATTTAGATTCCTCGACTAGTTTCGACCGAAGTGGCCATCATCAGGAGGAGAATATATATATATATATATATATATATATATATATATATATATATATATATATATATATGTACAAACAGTTGTGCGTGTGTGGAAAAACAATATATATATATATATATATATATATATATATATACACTATCTCAGTTTTCATCATACATGCCAATATTTTCACAATTGATATTAAACAATTAATGTCATTCAGATTTTCACTAGATATTTATAGGACTATGATAAATGTCATTTTCATCTCTCATATCCTTATTAATTATATATGCGTAATTTCTTGTTTGGGAGTGACTCTGAAATTTTATCATGCAACTTGAAATTTCTTATTTTCGAGTAATAAGTATATATAATGATCATTTTATTGAAAGTCATTTTTTATTTTTAGATATATGAAAAATTATCATGAGTCATAAGAAAGATACAATATAAAAAGTAAAACTTCAAATGGAACACGACGCTGGAAATTACGTAAACATTAAACAGATCTGACAAAAAATTTAATAAGACATTAAAAACCTTAGCAAGATGCAGAACATTGGCTAAAGATATAGAATCAAACAAATTTTATGCAAACATTACAAAGAGAAACGTGTAAGTTAAGCGAAGAAATAAATGAAACGTAATTTCTCTTCAGTAATTTTTAATGATGAATGTAGAGCTACATTGGTTGGACCTATTGGCTGAACTAGAGGCGTGGTTCTCTATGGAAGCAGTCGACTATGACTTCGAAGATAACTGAGGGGAGGTGGAGTAATGTTTTGGGTTAGTATTGTAGGCAGTCAAATTATAATTCACTTCAAAATTGATGATGGTGCCAAGATAAGAACAGAGAATTGTTATAAGTTCTTTAAACAACACACAACAAATAAACTTTAAGCTATAGACAATATTTAAGCTGATTATTGCCGACATCGCCCAAAAAGCTTTCAAAGACACCATGTTAATGGAATAGCTTCTACCCTCTCTAGATATAAATTCCAACAAAAACTTGTGAATTGTCATTAAAAGAGAAAAAAGTGGGACTAGAAAGCAATAAATAGTCGGAAGAATAAAAAAGTTAACAAAATCAATGATTGAAAAACTGACGAAGGTTTAGAATATAAACGATATCAGATTAACATGTAAATAATATTAACATGTAAATAATATTAACATGTAAATAATAATATAGATTATGCAAGTCTATACGAAACTGTGTTCATCAAATTCTGTTGCCTAGAAATCTGGAATTTATTTATAAATAAAACATGCACATAATTTGCATAATAAAACCTAAATCTCTCCATCAATATGTGTAATAAGAATAGATATTATAAGCTGAAACTGGCACAATATAAATATATATTTTTTAAGCAAATTCCACCCCAATCAAGGCGAGAAGCCACTAGCATGCAAGGGGTTACAGAGAGTTGGAGCGAGAGCAAAGAGGAGTGATAGAGGAAAGGATGAAGAGAAGGCGAGGAGATAGATCAAGGCATATGGAGACGTCGATTGACATTACATTTAAATAGATTATAGCTATCAGGGAAACAGGAAAAGGGAAGGGAGTTCCACAGGCGAGAGGTGCGAGATATGAAGCTATTGAAGTAGAAGAGACGGCTACATTTAACAGTTTCGACAGTGAAAGGGTGAGAGCGAGATGCCAGTCTAGTTGAACGCTTAAATTCATGAAGTCTGGGAACAAGCGACACTAGATTTATTTCTGAGGCAGGAGTAAATAGTAGTGTCGTTCGCATAGATGCCTACTTGGGAACCTATGACATCAGGAAGTATATCTTGAACATTTTACCCAGATCGGTTGTTTAATACCAATTGTATTGTAAAAACATTACCTTGCATAATAAAATCTGACAATATAAATGCATTTTTGTATATCTTTTATAATATTTTGTATATTGTTTTACTTACAGGGTGGGCAAAAAGTAGGCTTACACTTTGTAGGTATGCACATTTTTTTAAAAACATTTCATTACATATATATTTATTTGTTGCAATCTTATTTGTTCCTAACTGTTTTGTTTAACACTTTACATATAATTTTTGTGCACAGTTTAATCTCTTAAATGTTCAAAATGTCCACCTTCAAAATTGCAACATTCCTTGAACCTCTCCAGAACACTATGACATTATATCTGCATCAATTTCAATAAATACTTCTAAGATGTACTCTTTTAATTCATCTGGTGTTTGGGGATTTCTCTCATAAACCATTTTATTTTCTACATCCCCCCCAAAAAAGAAATCCATTATTGGGGTTAGGTCAGGTGATCATGGTGGCCATTTGATGCTTTTTCCTTCTTTTGAACTAACGTTGTGGAAAGGTTTGATTAATAACATTTCCAAACGTGAATAAAAGATATGGATTATTGGTTTTGAATTAGGATTTGGATAATCTAAAACGTGAAGCAAATGTAAAGCTATTTTTAGCCCAGCCTTTACATATTGCATGCATTTTTAGACGTTTTCGAATTTGCAAATATACACTTTAAAGAAAGTAGAATGATATTCAGTTCATAAAACCAGGCGGCCGTGTAAACAATATTAAAAAGCAATTATATTTAAAAAAAAAAAAAAAAATTAAAAAGCAATAATATTAGCGTGAGTCATAAGTAATTTCCGTTTGTGGTGGAAGTAAATGACTAATTTGTTTTCTTAACTAAGCGAGTCTTAAAGAAATTATAACAGGTAATGAAAAATGGGTGACACACAATAATAATGTTCAATGCAAAAATGGATTGATACGGATAAAGCCCCACAAAGTCAGAAATTGTAAAGGGCTAAATATAGACTGTAAAACCCCGAATGGTGGAAGGCTTTGAGATGAATTTGCAAATGCGATAGTTGCACAAGACAAAAGCTCTCTCAATGGTGTCTCACCGCTGATTGATTGAACCAATAAGAGAATATATGTTCATGCATGCGCAATAAGTTATATCAGTGCCAGATAAATGGTTCTCGAGATATTCACAATAGCCGGATACTTTTCGAAAAGACCTCATTCATATATATATATATATATATATATGGGAGGAGCAAACGATATATTATTTTTTTAAAATACAGAAAATTTAATAAATGACATAATACAAAACAAAATAATAATAAGCTAAAACTTGAAGGAGGAATTTACTCCATCACCTGAAATGATTGCCACAAAGAATACATCGGAAAAACCTTAAGTAATTTAAATCAAAGATTATATAAACACAAAAGGGATCTTTTACAAAACAGCACACTAAATGTTTTAGTTGCTTAGCGTAATGAGTTCGACTATAATTTTGATTTAAAAGATACTACTTTAATTAAAACAAAAAGTAATTTACTAAGACGAAATTGTATAGAAAGTGCTTTAATAGCAAGATCATTCACAGTCAATTGACGTCCAGGTATTTACAACATGTTACACTACAGCCTTTCATCTTTCTTTTCCCTTTTCTATTATTACAATCTGGGATATTTAATAACAAAATAATAAAAATATGACTAAAATGAAAAAGAAAATAAATTAAATGGGCTAGACTATATAGCCAAAAGACATATTTAAAATGAAATTAATTTAAAATTTCAGAGGGTCATTCGTATTTATTTGTGGCTAATCTGTCTTCAACGTTAAACGTGTATAGTAGTGGGTTAAATGAGAATATTCATATCGTGAACAGATAGATATGATTTTTACATACGGAAGCGCAAATGGTAATGGATGCGAGGCTGCACGGCTGTATCAGTTTCCATTTCCAGACGGAAGGCAACCGAGTCGTCCAACCTTTGCTGCTGTTTATCATCGCGTTGCTGAGACAGAATCCGCGTAACCACAAACTATGATTGAGGAAGACCATGAAGAACACATTCTACAAACTGACGGTGACGATTCAGGTATCAGCACATATCAAGTGGCTCTAGCATATATTACATCTCATAGTACTGCAATGTAGTTACTTCAAAAGCAACTTCTATATCCGTATCATTTGAAACGTGTGCAGGGTCTTTTGCCCTCTGATCACTCACTACGGGAAAACTTTTGCCGATGGTTTATTGCACAAACTGCCGATCCGTTGTTTGTCTCTTCAGTTTTGTTTAAGGATGAGGCAACATTTGGAAGAGATGGAATAACAAACTTACACAACCAACATTTATGGGCGGATAAAAAGCCCCATGGTACAATACAGGCTAGACACCAGCATCAGTTTACGATTAATGTGTGGGATGGAATTGTAGGTGACTGTCTGGTAGGTCCATGTATTCTCCTAGCACAACTTACAGGAGCTGTATACAGAGACTTTATTTCTAACACACTTCCAGACCTGCTAGAGGATGTATCCCTGCTTATTCGAAGACACAAGTGGTCCATGCATGATGGGGTTCCGGCACATTTTAGTTACACTGATCGCGATGCAGTGGCTGACATCTAACATGGAAGATGGATAGGTAGGAGAGGACCAGTTCTATAGCCTGCACGTTCCTTCGACCTCAATATTTTGGATTTTTGTCTGTGAGGCCACTTAAAACAATTGGCTTATGCAGTAAATATTAATAATGCAGAAACGCTTCATCAACGTGTAACGGGGGCCTGCAAGACCATTCGACACCACGTGAGAGTATTTGAAAGGGTCCGCCAATCAAAGATCTGACGGGTGCAAGCGTGTATGAAGTAAGCGGAGTATATTTTAAACAATTATTATGAGTTGCTGTGTTGAGATACAGCGATAGCCTTTTGGATATATGTTTATATGGACATTTTACCTTGTTTTGGTGCTTGGAAATCGCTCCAAAGTCTGTAAAAGTATTTTTGGATTGTATCTTGGATTGTACATTTAATAGAGGATACCGTAAACTATAAAATCAAAAGTGAAAGATTTGCGGACTTCCTTGTTTTGGTGTGAGGAACCAGCTCCCAAAGTTTGTACAAAGTACACACACACACACACACACACACACACACACACACACACACACACACACACACACACACACACACACACACACACACACACATATATATATATATATATATATATATAATGAAGTCTCCCGTTAATTTCGACGTATGAGGATCCGACAACTTCACCTAGTTCTATGTTTGTGTCGTCTGTTAAACTTCAGTCCCAGAGTGACCTGCGTATAAGACCACATATTATGCCGCAGCGAGGATCTCGTGACATAGCAACAGGAATATTTGCTGACGCCTTCCGCCACTGTCTTTCGTCTCTTAGACGGTCAATACAACTGATTCAGAAATTTCTTATACAACTCTGACACAAATCTCTCTAGATATTTCTATCCAGGGCAACTTTCTCGAAGTCAGTATGAGGCACATTGACAGCTGAGGAGTTATTCTTTAGCCTGTCCTTATATTTGAGCCACGGCCACCCAACTGTCTGTGTCCAGTGTCAAGCTGGCTATACAGGAGGACCTTAAGTATTCTGTAATCACTCACCCTATATATATATATATGAAGAGAGTTAGTGAGAGAGAGAGTGTGGGTGTGTGTGTGTGTGTAAGAGAGAGAAATTCGGTATATTTCGGTAACAATTCTTCTTGCAAATGTTTTATTAAATGGCTATCTTTATGGCTATTAAATTTGTTGATCTTTTTTCTAATGTGCAAATAGCATTTCGATAATGGTTGTTACTAAAATAGCCAAAATCTGTGCCTCGACTCACTTGAGTCGTGATCAGTAGGTATGAGTAAGAAAAGAAAATTAAATCTATTTTAAACAACAGATTGTATCATTATTTTTTTCAAGCGTCTTCATTTTGTTTCATTTTCTGAAAGCCAAACCCATTTCGGCAGAACACAGCAAAAGTCAAGTGACGACAACTTGTAAAGATAACATGTAATAATGTGTAATATTTTATCTGCATTTAAGAATACATTAATCTTAGATTATAATTATTTTTATTTATGGATGGTTGCTTAAGTTAAATGTAAATAGCGTCAGTAATCTTTAGCCGTTTTTGACAAATAGATTTATAATGTATTCTTACATAATTAGAAAAGAAATGCCTAAGCTTGTTAATATGTTAGTATACTATATAGAATGGCACTTACGTTAGATAAATGACACATGAATCTACGTGAAAGAGTGGTTGTTGTATAACCTATATAACAAACAGTGTGTTTATTATTTATAGAGATGAACTCTCCAAATAAATGTCAAATGAATTCATAAATAACATTAGCCTTATGTAGCGAGTTAATGGGTTAAGAGATATTTTACTGTTATGCAACTGGTTTAAAAAAAAATATAGTAATTAAATCACACACGAGAAAAAGAGATCAACAAATTTAATAGACATAAAATGTCAATTCTTTTTCATAAGACATATACAGATAGATATGTGAATGTCGAAAGTCGTTCTACTGATATACTGATATATATATATATATATATATAATATATATATATATACTGATATATATATATATATATATATATATATATATATATATATATATATATATATATATATATATAATATATATATATATATATATATATATATATATATATATATATATATATATATATATATATACATGTGTGTGTGTGTGTCGTTGTTGTTGTTGATGGTCTTGGTGTCAGGAGAAAGTTGTGTAAATGTTCTTTTTTTTTTTTCAAATGCGGATTTTTAAATGAGATAAGATTATTTTCGCTGACGCTATATTATCTTAACTTCCTCCCGGAAGTTTTTTTTAATCACCATTTCTCTTTTTATTTGATTTTTATCACGTGTCGGTGAACTTTTCTCTTGTCCTTTAAAGCCAACTTATCGAATTTCTTGATCGAAAATTAGAACGATGTGAAACAAAATGAAAAGATGCGTGAAGATCAGTTTCTCTTGCTTTTTGGTTCTTGAATTTTGTCGGTCAATTTAGAAATGTTTTATGATTGTGGGAAACGTCGAAAAATTTCTACCCCATAAACTAATTTTGGGAGGAGATAATTTAAAGCAAGTAGAGTGAAAATAGAAGGCAAGACTGAAAAAAGGAGAGGGAAAAAAACTTTAAAAGAAGATAAAAGGAATAAATGGAAGGAGGGGAGATAAAACAAAAGAAGGAAAGAAGGAAGAAAAGGAGGCGGTTCACCGATTATCAGTAGAAATTGAAAAATATTTGGTTGATTCTTATCTTCAGTTAACCATTCTTGTTTTTCTTTCGTTTTCACATTTACTAGGCACATTCACACGCATGCGCAGATCCAGGTGTTGGGTAATCGCGGATCAATGAGTTGCCAAGGTTTGATTGAGGAGATAGAAAAGAGTATGATAAGAAAGCGCGCGAAATAAACGCGGTAAAAAGTGTCAAATTGTGCGATGAGAAGGAGTTGAGGTTAACAAAAAGTGATGAAGGATAAAAGTAGTGTGAAAAGATGGCGGAAATTTGCCGAGTGCAACAAAGGCGAATGAATGGAAACAAAAAAAAAAAATTAAGATAAATTTTGAAGATCGAAGTAAAGACAAGTTGAAAAGACGCCGATAACGAACTGTTAGCTGAACTTCATAAATTAAGGATTGTCTTTATATTTGTTGCTTTTAGTAAAGAGGCCGATAAGTTCCTCAGCCGTTTTTATATCGCATCTAGTGGTCTTTAAAAGATTCTTAATAATTTTACAATATTATCACGCCTTGTCTATTTTATGCAACTCCAACCTCTCTCTCTCTCTCACACACACACACACACACACACACACACACAAACACACACATGCGGAATATGACGTGCTTCTCGCTGTTCTATCGTTACTTCCATGGAAAGCGGCGTATGGTCCCTACATGTCTAACCTTCACGGCTAGGACCCGCCATGCCACTAACATTGTAGTCAACCATCCACATTCCTTTCGTACTATAGAACAGCTTCTTCCTGAGAACCTCTGCTCGGTGGAATTGATTACAAAGAGGATGTTTTCTCGATTACTACAATCTTAAGCAGTTCAAGTCTAGTCTCAACAGTTATCTCCCCCTTCTAATCCATATAAACTACTACTTAACGTAATCCTTTATGTCGAGTGGCCCCAGGCCTTGCATAAACTGAACGTTACTGTAAAAAAAATCAAATATCGAAACTGTATGATAATTACATAATCTTTTGGTGAAACTGGGAAAACTCTGAGATTTTCACTTTTAAAACAAATTAGTTTTATAATAATCTATGATATGGAAGGTTGAAAAGCATATCGGCGAAAATGCGATTAAAACAATTATGAGGTTTCCACTCCATTTATCTCTCTCTCTCTCTCTCTCTATCGCTCTCTCTCTCTCTCTCTATCTCTCTCTCTCTCTCTCTCTCTCTATCGCTCTCCCTTTCTATACATTTCTGAGACTTCCGTTAGTCCGTCTGTCCGCCTAGCCATATATTGACCGATCGAAACCAAATTTGGGAAGAAGTGCAAACAGGCAAGGGGGGACAAAGGGGGTGCGTAAAAACAGCGAATTAGGGTTTTTGTGAAGGTAATTTTCCAAACAAATCAGCTGATTAAAAAAATAAGGGGTCTACTCAAACATGAGTAGACACAAAATATCATTTAGAGTAATAAGAAATAAAATTGAATCTTAAACTTTACAGCTGCCCCTCATATAATCGACTCTCCCGTCGAGATTCGACGTATGAGGGTCAAGCAGATCAGTTTCCAGGAAACCGACAGCCCGACACCGGCACATGAAATTTGATTATAGTGCCCCTTATATATATATATATATATATATATATATATATATATATATATATATATATATATGATAAAGATGTTACCGTAACTGTTTTTTACAATATTAAAAAAGTACGATTCGTCGGGTAAACAAACTGTTATAATTTAAAATTTTATTAATATGTTCTCTATAAATGTGTTAATAAATATAGTATTTAACTTATATTAAATCCCTAAACTATTTGTAAAAAAATGAAATTAATTTCTTCGGGGTTTTTTAGACATCTAAATTACTATCAAGCATTAAAATCTATTCTTTACATAAATTGCTAAAACCCAATTACAGCCTCTTTCTCTTTACTTCCCTCTCCCTCTTCTTTCTTTTTCCTTTTCTCCCTACTCCCCTCCCATTTCAATATATCACTTCCGTTAAGTTAACCGTCTAAATAGTTCAAGGTCTGGTCACTCCTCTTCCCCCAATATTAAGTATGCTTGAGAGAGAGATGAAATGAATCCCTCCCTAAACTCTACCATGTCTCTTTAACTACTCCTTTTACACTCTCTGTTAAATTACAAAAACTTACTCTACCCATCAATTTTCATTTCATTTTTCGTTTCATTTCATTTTTGGAAGTGCTATCTGATGATTCGGCGTCCTTTAAAAGGGCTCTGGTGAATTAAATTATTATAATGGTATCTTAAAAGTGGTCTGTTTTTCTTTAAATATATATATATATATATATATATATATATATATATATATATATATATATATATATATATATATATATATATATACTAAAGAACTCGGATTATTAACCTAACGTGTTCTTTCCTATTTTTCTATATATTTGCAGACACACATACACACACACACACACGCACAGACACACACACACACAGACACACACACACACACACACACACACACACATATATATATATATATATATATATATATATATCAGATAATTGATGTGGGTAGAAAGATATGAAACGTATATAAAGCTGTTTGTAAGTGCGCGCACAGGTCCACCGAAGGTCATACAACAAATGCATATATACATGAATGTATAAAGGGAGAGTAAATAAGAGGAAAGTCAAGATTGAGTGAGAGAGAGAAAGAGGGAGAAGTGGGGGTGGATATCTCAATGTTGTTTACATGGCTTCTGTTCTGATAATTGATGGTTGCCTGATGTCTTAATTATTTCAAAGGTTACAATCTGCAGTTCTTGCAGAGTCACTGATCTGACAAACGATGCGTAATTAATGCCCCGTGTTTGGTTCTAATAAGGTGAATGAAGCCCAGACGAAGAGACTGTGATTTACACACACGGCCAGAAATGTAAGTGGCCGCTCTTGGTCTAAGGGGGGGTAGGGGGGCTGGGATGCCTTGCCAGCAAATAAAGAAGAACAAAGACTTGATGATCAAGAAATGAAAAGGGAGTTGAGGAATGAATGAAAGGAAAGGACAAAATAATAGGAAGGAGAAAGAATTTTAGACGGGGCGGTGGGGGGGGAGAAGAATTAGAAGAGACTGATGAAAGAAAGAAAAGGAGAGACGCTAAGGAAAGAAACATTAAAGAAAAAAAGAAAAGTATGAGAGAGAGAGAGAGAGAGAGAGAGACTGAAGAGAGGGTAAGAGAGAAAGAGCAAGGGAGGAATAATACGGAATGGAAAGATCAATAAGAAGTCGGAGGTGAGAAGTAAAATGGTAAAGAAGAAGAAGAAGAAGAAGAAGAAGAAGAAGAAGAAGAAGAAGAAGAAGAAGAAGAAGAAACTAATTGGAAAAGAGAAGAAAATCAAGAACTGGAAGAAGGGGAAATTGAGGAAAAATAAAAAGGGAAACAAAAATAAAGGAGATGAAAAAAAAGAAAGAGGAAAAACTTGATACCGTTGAGTATTTTATGATCGATTTATATTAATAAATATTTCTAGAGAATCAATATTGAAGTAAAATTAGAAGATTTGGCTAAAGGCACAAAGGTCAAAAATGTATTTGGTCATTCCATGAGCAATGTAGTTCTTTCTGTAGCTCAGCTTCCTATCATAGAAATGTGAATGTGTATCAAGAAAATGCCGGACGTGCCTTCAATGTTTTATGTCATCTGGCTAGACACCAAACAACCAACAAAACGGTGGCGTTATTATACATCGCGATGATACACACTATTATTCCCATCTTGCTTTTGTTATAATCAAAATTTATTTGGCTGTCTACTCCGCTGGGAACTTCAACTTGAACTCTGTAGTATCGTATGTAAATGAGATACTGCTTTAAAGGCAGTACGCCGCAGCGAATGACATTCGAACTACTATCTGTTGACCTGACAACATCTATTCCAGAGATAAGTCTACTTCATAACAGTATGGCGTCGCCGATAGGATTCTTGGCCGCGTTGGATGAACTGGATAGAAACTTGGATTAGATGTTTAGCAGCATTTGATAGGATAAAGAAACTGAAAGACAACAAAGCCTCCAGAATGAAGAATGAAATTACTGATTTATTTTTGACTTTGGCTGGATGTGAAGCCATAAAGAAAATGTCCATTATTTTGTGTGCTCCAAAATGTTGGAAGACTTAACATATGAAGCAATTTCAACCATTATAAAAAGAAATGTACAACCAAAAAAAACAAGGCTGGTTATTGCTGAGAGAACAACATTTCTGAAAAAGAGACAGAAACCCAAAGGAAACGGTAATGCAATATTTACACAGATTGAAAGAAGTGTCAAGATATTGCGAAGCTGAAAAACTAATTTCAAGAGAAATGTCTATAGAAGACGAATTGAACTTTCTAAGACTAACTGAAGACATGTATGACATTACATGGAAACATAAGATCATAGACCATCCTGGATAAGACGATAAACAACATCTGACAGCAAGGCCTCTGTTCAGAATTTTTTGAGGAGCATGGAACCACCTCTTAATTGCCGATGTTCCAGATCCAGTGGTAGTACCTGTTTGGGGGTTCTGCCCATAGCTGGGACCCCTAACTGGAGTCAAAACACTATGAAAGTATAAAAATAGGTTTTAATACCAGCAATAAGTTTTTTGAGCAAAAACTATTACCAGCAATACGTTATTAACAGGCAATACATTTTTGAGGAAAAATATTAGCAGCAATACATTTTTGGAAAAATATTACCAGCAATAAAAATCTTGTCGGCATTAAATAACTCATTGAGGTTGACATGCTGTAAAACAAACCAAACCTAACTAAACTAAGATCCTAGAACGGCTACAAGCGAATTACATGAATTTAGAAGTAAGTATAGAATTCTTGCAGTAATTAGAATTAATTAATAAATTTAATAATTCTAGAAACAATGTGGAAGCATACAATGCAACTGAAATCCTAATTAAGTGCAAATATTGTAACAAAGAAGATGAAAGAAGCAAAAACAAATATTTAGCCCTAGGAAAATTATGTTTAAACTGTAAAAGAAAAATCCATTTCTAATCTGTGTGCAAATACAAAAAGAGAATAGAAAAAGTAGAAAGTATAAATCCTTTTACTGAAAATACAG